CCAGATGGATGCAGGTGTGTTATATTGGTGACTCAAATGCAATGCATGAAATTTCAAACAAAAGAAAAGTCAAATTTTCCTTGGTTTATACTTTTACTATATTTCTGGAAAATTCATAAAACTGGACAAAAATCACCTAGTGTCTGAGGTAGCTACTTTCTGAAGATGGCTCTCAATGTTCTTCTCCTCCCTCTATAGGCAAGCTGCTTCTCACAAGAGGTGGAGTTTATCTGTCCTTACTTTAAGTCTGGACTGGCCTTGACCAATAGAAAGCAGCCCAAGTGCTGTTCTGGGACTTCTAAGACCAAGCTTGAAGAGCACTGACAACTTCCACTTGCCACTTTTTGGAACCCAGCTACTATGTTATGAGAGTCTGAGTCACATGAAGAGCCGCCAGGGAGGAGGTCTGCGGTGCTCCAATTGACAGCTCCAGACCAACCCCCACTCAAGTACCAGCAGTGTGAGTGAGCCATCTTGGATGTCCAAGCCTAGCTGAAACCAGCTGACAGCAGCAAAAGTCAACATCATGGGCCAGAACTGCCCAGCTGAGCCACTCATCCCACAGGATCTTAGGAGATAATAGAATTCTGTTGTTTTAAGCCTCTAAGTTTTGGGTTGTTTATTACATAGCAGTAGATAACTAAATCAGCATTTATATGTAAAACTAAATTAGGTTCTAGGCTCAGGCTGATATAAATAGGTTTTTCATCTATTTGAAAATCTAGGGACATTTGAAAGTCTTGCAGGACAGAAAATAGTTCTTTATTGTGAGGGACTGTCCTATATAATACAGGATGTTTATTATCTCTAGTCTCTGCCCTAAATGTCAGTAGTGTTTCCTAGATATTTTGACAACCAAAAACACATCTACGAATTTCCAAATGCTCTCTGGCTACTGACCTTGCTAAGAACTGCTAACTAAAATAATTATTTGTATAATGACTACATAAGAGGTACTGGAAAAGCTAGAAATGAAATACAACCCATGTCTTTAAGAGATTTACAGTTTAATTGACAAGATAATGAATGAAACGATAACACAGAATGATAAACATTATGATGGAGATGTTTTCTTCGCATTGTGGTAGCATAAAGACCCAATAGCTAAATCAGCCTGTGAAGGGTCAGGATAAGTTTGCTGGAGGAGTTAATTACTGAGCTGAACTTTGAAGTTAAGCCAGGTAGAGAAGAGGGAGAATAGAAATTCAGGCATGGGAAACAGCTTGTGCAAAGGCACAGAGTGGGGGCATTAGCACCCATAAAGGTAATAAGGTGGGCTGGTGCCAGCTGTTGGTGTATCTTTCATGGTCTGCTAAAGAGTTCATTTAAATCTGAAGGCAATTTTGTAGTAGCAGCCAGAGATAATGTCATATGTTCACTACACCACTATCCCAGCCTCCCTTGCAGTTAACGCGTGGCCTGGTGACTTGTTCTCAGCAATGGATGTGGGTAGAAGGGAAGTAAGCCACTTCCAGAACTGGCCCTTGATAGCATCCCTTGCAATCTCCCAATTTGCTCTTTTCCTGCCTTGTTTTAGAGGTCACGTGGTCCAGATGGCAAAGTTCCAAGATGAAAGTGCGCTGTCTGACTTGTGTCAGATGTGCAAGAAGTAAGCTTTTATTGTCTTAAGCCACCAAGGTTTGGGGATTATCAACCAGAATCCTGTCAGGAAACAAATCACCCCAGATGGTTTAAATGAAGAAATTTTAATGAAGGAAATCCTTTCAGAAGTGGAGTAGAAGGACTCTTGTAGCTCACTCTCTCCCACAAATACACCAAAACTCACATCTACGGACCTACTCAGCCAACCAGAGCACCTGCCGAACTCCAACAGAACATCGCCCTATTCGAAAGTCAAAGACGCCAAAAATCTGATAGGAGAAAAGGAAAATAGAAAGAAGAAAAAGCAAAACAGTGTGGGACTGGTCCCGCAGTGAGGGAGTGGCAAAGGAGGACTGGCGCTCGTTTGCTGGGTCCCCCGATTCCAACGGAGAGGCCAGCGGGATGGAAAGGGAACCTCCGAGGCTCAGATCTGCCCTGAGCAGCCCTTGACCAACAGAACTGAGTTAAATGGACACAAAGGGTCCCTGTGACACCCAGCCTGAGACGCGAGCCAGCAGCTGGGGCCGGGACAGGCTGCCCGAGCCAGGCGGAGGACAGGGGCAGCTGCACTGAGGCAGCCCCAGGGGACTGCAGGGGGCTGTGCACCATGGCTGGGTGGGGTTACAGAGCAGAACAACCTCGGTCCCCCATAAATTGTGAAAAAAGCAAAGCAACACGGCTGGTGTGCCCTGGGGGGAGGGCGCCATAGCCTTTGTCTCCTCAGACCTGCGTTGCCATTACTGGCGCATCTCACAAGAAGACAGGCAGGGTGCAGCCACAGCCGCCATCTCCTCCTGTGTGCAGCGCTGGGGTGGGGGTGGGGGTGGGGCCAAGACCTGAATCCGCATCCCAGGGCTCCAGAACCTCCTGGGCAGGACTGTGACTTGTTTACAACCCGAGGTAGATAGGATCTTTCTGCACTGGCACCTCAGAGAACTTGCACCACTAAGACAAACAAGGAGCTGAGATTTGGCACGGAGCAGGGGTGGGGCCATTCTGCAGTCTTCCCAGAGCCCGCCTTTGGAGTGGGCAGCTGCACAGAGGAGCGGGAGTGACCAGCGCCAGGAGAGGGCAGGCGGCCACCCCACACCTGCCAGGAACACAGCACCTGACCATGATGCTGGGAGGGAGCGTGATCTGCCCACCTGCCTCCCCCAGCACAGCATCTGACTGAGACATCTGGAGGGGGAGAGACCCGTCCGCCCACTGGGTAAGAGCTCAGCTCCTGACCCAGTGTTAGGAGGGTGCACGATCTGCTAGCCGACAGCCACTGGGAGCAGCACAGACAAGGGCGCCAACAGAGGGCCTCTGGAAACAGCAAGCTGAGTTCACAAAACAGGGCGAAGACACAAAGACCTCTCAATAAAATCATTAGGAGCACACCGTCTCCAGGAGAACTAGATAATTGATACTCCTTAAGCCACAGTGCCAGAGAGATATAAGCAATATGAAGCAGAGGAACCATTCCCAATTAAAAGATCAAGAGAAATTCCCTGAAAGCATGATCAAGGAAATAGACATCGATGGCCTACTAGATCAAGATTTCAAAAAAGGACTGGTCAAAGTACTGAAGGAACTAAAAGAAATAGTGTTTAGAGATATAAAATATGTCAAAAATGAAATAGAAGCTATAAAGAAGAACCAAGTAGAAATAGTAAACTCATTTGCTGAGATGAGACCTAACCTAAAGGCTGTACAAAGCAGGCTAGATAATGCAGAGGAACGAATAAGTGACCTAGAAGACAGGACAACAGAAAGCACCCAATCAGAACAGCTGAGAGAAAAACAAATAAAAAACAATGAAAACAATATAAAGGACCTATAGGATAATATAAAGCCCACCAATCTACGCATAATAGGGGGTTCCAGAAGGGGAAGAAAGAACAAAGGGGATTGAAAAGGTCTTTGAAGAAATCATGACTGAAAACTTCCCAAACCTAAAGAAAGAATCAGATATCCAAGTACAGGAGGCTCAGAGGGTCCCAAACAGGAAGAACCCAAACAGACCCACACCAAGACATATCACCATCAAGATGGCCAGAGTCAAGGATGAAGAAATGATCCTAAAGGCAGCAAGAGAAAAACAAAGAGTGAGTTACAAGGGAACCCCCATAAGGCTCTCAGCTGATTTCTCTACACAAACACTACAGGCCAGAAGGGAGTGGCAAGATATATTCAAAGTCCTGAATGAAAAAAAAGATGCAGCCTAGGATACTCTATCCAGCAAGGCTATCCTTTAGAATAGGAGAGATAAAGAACTTCACAGACAAGCAAAAACTAAAAGAGTTTAGCAACACTAAACACATGCTAAAAGAAATATTGACAGGTCTACTATAAACAGAAAAGAAGCAGGATGCTACAAAAATGAGAAACTACATAACTGGAAAGGAGATAACTGCCATGAATTACGAAAAGAATAAACACAAAATTGTAAAAAAAAAAAGAACAATCTAAATCATTAAGAGTGGGAGAGAGAAGCAAGGAAAGCCACTGTGGAAAAAACAGTATGGAGATTCCTCAAAAGACTAGGAATAGACTTACCATATGACCCAGGAATCCCACTCCTGGGCATATATCCAGAAGGAATCCTAATTCAAAATGACACCTGCATCCCAATGTTCATAGCAGCACTATTTACAATGGCCAAGACATGGAAACAACCTGAATGTCCATCAACAGATGACTGAATGAAGAAGAGGTGGTACATTTATACGATGGAATACTATTCAGCCACAAAAACTGACGACATAATGCCATTTGCAGCAACATGGATGTTCCTGGAGAATGTCATTCAAAGTGAAGTAAGCCAGAAAAAGAAAGAAAAATACCATATGAGATTGCTTATATGAGGAATCTAAAAACAAAAACAAAAAAAACCCACCATAATTACAAAACAGAAACAGACTCATAGACATAGAATACAAACTTGTGGTTGCCAAGGGGGCATGGGGGTGGGAAGGGACAGACTGGGATTTTAAAATGCAGAATAGATAAACAAGATTATACTGTATAGCACAGGGAAAAATATTCAAGATCTTGTGGTAGCTCATAGTGAAAAAAATGTGACAATGAATATATACATGTTCATGTATGACTGAAAAATTGTGCTGTGCACTAGAATTTGACACAACATTGTAAAGTAACTATTAATCAATAAAAAAATGTAAAAAAAAAAAAGGAAATCCTTTCAGGGGTGTGGACAGGGTATGGGAAGAAACATGGGAGGCAGAAAGCTGTTTCACTCCTAGAACTGAAGGGGCAAAGAGAGGAAAAGAATTATCAGAGCCCTGGGAGTTGGTGCCAAGGAGGAGGAGCTGTCCAGCAGGAATTCTAGTCACAAAGTGACACAGCCACTGCTAGAAGAAGGGAGAGAGCCGGGAAAAAGTATCCTGACCTACCTCTCCTCCCGTACTTCAGTCTCCTGAGAGGGTTCCCCCATTGGCCAAACCCAATCAGAATGCAGCCTCAAGGGAGCCCAGGTGATGCAGGGCACAGGAGCCAGCCTCCAGGGACACAAAGCAGTTCAGTGAAGGGAGGAGAATACCTCTGCAGGAAAAAGACAAAAAGTAGTTCTGGAGGTTTGTCTGTTGCGACAACTAGCTTTAATAACTTTAATACAAAATCATTGATGGATTTTGAGCAGATTTTTAAAAAATAAGTTTTATTGAAATATAACTTGTACATCATAAATTTCATCCTTTTAAAGTACATAATTCAATAGTTTTTACTATATTCAAAGTTATACAATAATCCATACTAATTCTAGAAAAATTTCATCACATTCCCCCCTACAAAACAAACCCATACCCACTAAGTTGTCCCTCCCTATCCCCCACTTCCCCAGCCACTAGCAATCACCAACCTACTTTCTGTTTCAATGGATTTGTCTATTCTGGATGTTATACATAAATGGAATCAAACAAATGTGAGCCTTTGTATCTGGCTTCTTTCATTTAGCATAATATTTTCAAAATTCATCCATGTTGTAGCATGTATTTCCTTTTATTGCTGGATTATATTTTATCACATATGATATAGCTTTCAAAGATAACAGCTGTGTAAAGAAGAGGTTGGCAGAGGAGTGTGTGTAGGTTGAGGAGTGATTGTGTTCTCCAAAAACATTGCCTCAACCTATTTTCAGGCCAAGAAATAAGTTAGAGAAGACAAACAGCACTCTTTATATCCCATCCTGAAACAGCCCCCTTTTCTTGGATCCCATTTCAATGAGTGACACCACTGTCCACCCTGAATCTGGGAGTCACATCAGGGTCCTCCATTTCTGATACCAACTGGTGGAGTCATCCTGTCTACATCGTCCTTTTTGTCCCTTCCATAGTAGGACACTCTCTCATGAGCCTCATCATGGGATTCAAACATTGTCACACTTTGTGCTTACTCACATAGGTTCATTCACATGCCTCTTCAACAGACTTCCTTCTCTCCAATCTTTCAATCTTTCTACTTCAAGGCCCCTAACAAATGGCCAAGCCATTTGCTACTACTCGTGAGTCTTACATATACTTACTTCAGGCTAATTCTCTTAACGTGCAAAATGGATGACTATGTGCAATGCATGAAGTTTGAACCATTGGGAGAATTTTGCCTTATCACTATCTGTGAGATCATAGTATAGCAGCAGTTCATGTCAGCTTGCATTTGATTACTAAGTCAACTTAAGCTTGAACCAAGCTCAGCTGTTTTCCTCTTCTTGCAGTAAGTCATAAGGGATCCCCCAACTACATGCAGTCATATGTTTGAGATTAGACACAGGTACCGGTGCAATAATGGTTGATGACATCTGGCCACACACTCATACAGCTTACTTGTTTTCTGGTCCTATTCATGCCCATCCTGGGTGTATCACCTCCATCTTACTGCAGGTTTTTACTGGGCTCACTGGACCATATGAATTGGTGAAGACCAGATGAAAGATGATAAAATGCCATCATTTGGCTGAGGAGCCATATCAGGTCTAATATGTGGATGGAAGACTATCTGTCTCACTAAGGGTCCAATTAGGAAAACAAACAAGTGCATGCCAGGTCATTAAGAGAGGGGATTGCAATGGTACTGAAGGAGCTGAAAAGCAAATCAGGGGCTAGAGACATCTCAAGGATTAGTATCAGCAGGAAGCTACTATAATCCCTAGGGCAGGAGTTCCCAAAGGAGGAGATGCTATTGCCATATTCCAGGAGCTGGGGCCTCCCAGGGAGAACTGGTTCCACAACAGAGGGTACCTGGCTGGAGCTGGATCATGGAAGGAGAAGCTGTCCAGCAGGAGCTGGAACCACATAGGAAATGTTGCCCAAAGCAGAAAGAGCAGTCAGGGTGGAGAGTGGGGGAGGCATGGTTTCTCTTCCTTCCCACTTTCCAATCACCCGTCTCACCCTGCAGGCTAAACCTAATTTGAAGCTAGCTGGTAACAGAGCCCAGAAAATGTAGTTTGCAGGGATCATTCCCCTGCTGTACAGAGAAGGGCAGGGAAATGGAGAGAAACGGACCCAAGAGCAAACAAGTAAATTACTGGCACATCACGCCACCTGTGCCTAGAGATGGTCATTAGGAGGACCTGCAGGGAAGCCATAGCTTTTCTCAGGAAGCAGTACTGTCTTTGCTCCACCACAAAAATAATTAGCCTAGTTCCCAACATATGACATCTTGCAGATACTATTCTGTCTAAACTAAGAAAACAGGATTATCACAAATTAATTTAGGAAAAGTATGAACTATTTTTCATGAAATGTATGTTCTAAAAACTTTTTAAACAGCTTCTGACCCAGTCTGAAAACAAACCTGACATGATAAAGAAGGAGCAAAATGTTTTTAAGAGAAATATTTATGAAGAACTAGTAAATCAACTCCCTTTAACTTTCAAAATACAAAAGTAAAAATATTGATCAAAACAGGAAGTTGAACAAGGTGGGGCTAATATTCTGAAGTTGATTAAGTATGTGAGTAATGGATGATCTATAATTTTTGACCAGAGAATTGTACCATAGCCACCAGCCACTTGAGGAAAAAACTGTTTTGACTATTATGTGTCAAAAATATAGCAATCAGTTAAAATTCCAAAAACTCACTGAATTTATGAAAGGAAGCAATACGTTTTGTGACTGAACAAACCACCTAAGAACAGGATATTTTAGGAAAATGAACAGTCTTTGGATTCTATTCTTCTTGTCATATCAAGATATAGTAAACCTGTATTTGTAGATAGGACTGTGTGAAAAGACAAACTTCCAAATCTAAATGTATACAATTCAAACTGTGCAACTGTTTTGTTACTTCCTTTAGCACAAGACTGGGAAACAACTTAAACAAAGCAACACACATAATATTAATCATAATAGTTATTGACTCACATAATGTGCTAAGCAAGTCTTTCACACATATTATTTAACTTAATCCTCAAAGAATCTAATTTGACTGATGAGAAAACTCAGCCTGAAGGAGGCTAAGTGTCTTTAAAATAAGAGCATACCTACTATAATCAGTTTAGAGACATTTAGATATATCTTGATATCTGGATTAGCCAGGGACCATATTAAATAATGTATTTCAAGGAAATTTTGACATGATAAAATTGCTATTCTATATAAAAATTTCAATAGTCCTTTAGGGTTTGAGGAAATATGATTTAATTATTAAATTATTTAACCTTAGTAATAAAAACTAACCTAATAATTTATAAACTATATAGAAGTTTTCAAGGTTAAAATTCTGCAGTTCTTACATTTCTCTCTTCCAAAGTTAATACTTTATATGACTTTCTGTATCAGTTGTGGAAGCTTCCTTTGGGCTAAAATGCATCACAACAATGAGATTTTTAAATTTTTGATTTATATTCAAATATATATTACTGAATTTACATACCTCAAAGAGTATTCTCACTAATAAATATTTTAGAATAATTTTTCAGGGATGAAAATTAAACTCAGGCCCTAGTATCTAATTTTTTTATTAGTAGGAAAACTTGGACGTGAAATTTGTATCTTTTAAAACTAATATGAATAAAAAGGAAAAAGCATTAACTCTTACACCTACAAATTACTCAATCTTCCAAGGCTCTAAAAATAATTGTTTAAAGAAAGAGGTCAAGATATCTAGGGGAGCCAATATGTAACTTTTGTTTAAAAGAATTTCAATTGCCATGTTGACTTTTTCTGTTATGTTTGTAGTATTCAATATATTATATAAAATATATTTCACTTTAAAGTGCAATAAGGTCATATTTGTCAAGAATGCAGAATCCTGTGGCCTTTAGAAAGCCAAGATTACTGATGAGTGAAGCATTTCTTCACTCTTCAGGCTAGAGTATTTTTTTTTCTTCCAAACTGTTCTCAGCTACTAAACTTGTTTTAAAATGCTCTCAGCTACCAAGTTTGTTTTTTATATGCTCTGATACATTATTGTACAAATATGGGAAACAAACTCAAACTCTTGACTTGACCACAACATTTTCAGCAGTCTTGATGTTTCTGATAATATACATGCTTCCTGTGTTTGTAATCTTGTGAAGTATTAGTATAATACTAACCTTTTAAAAGAAACTAACAATGTCAATCATTGTCCTCTTATATACACTTCATGGTTTCTGCCTGTTATTTACTACATCAGTACAGATGGTTTCCTTAAAAATATGTATCCTTAAAGATATAATAGAGTACAAAAAAGGTAAGTCTGATTAGAAAATTATATAATCTGAATTATAATTCAGAAAATTATAGTCCGAGGTTTGCAATTCCAAGTGGTAAAGAGCGACAAAATCTGCGATCATAAGGATGAAAGATGAAGCCATAGTAGTCTTATATGGTCATAGACAGGAGAGATCCTTTTGAGAAATAAGCATATCAGTCACAGAGACCAAAAATACTATGCACGTGTTTCACTAATAAAATGGGCAAAGTCAGGATTTGCCTTAGTTCAATGTTATTCTTTGAGGGCGATTGTGTCCTGAACTCCTGTCTAGTCAATTCTGACACCCAATCCGCCCCAATGCTCCCTCCACTCTCCTCCACGCCTCTAGCCCTCCCTCCTAACACGAATGCACACACACACGCCCAGCCTGGCCAGAAGATAAAGCTAAGATGGCAGCGCGGAAAGTACAGGAGCCGCTTTCAGTGGGGCTGGAAAAACAAAAGCAAAGCCCTCTCCATATATTTTCACTTTGCACGTTTCCTTGAATAGTAAGAATCTCCCCCAACCCCCTTCCCAACACATGGGCATTCCGTAGTAGTGCGCGCTGTACTGGCGGAAGGGGACGCTTGCTCTGCACATTTCAAGAAATCCACATCTCCACCGTTTGCAGCGGTGGTTCAGGTGACCCTCGCGACTTGCCTTGGGGAGCCACCCTCCCCTTCAGGTCCCCTTGAGAGTGGAATCACGGGTGAGTCCAAACGCCCTTTCCTCCCCGGCATGCGCCCCATTCCCTACCACCCCAGGGGAGACTTCCAAGGTGCCCAGCTGCGAAGGCAGTAGCCGCAGCAGTTGCAGTGACCCAGGAGCGCACAGTGCAGAGGCAGGAAGAGGAGGAAAAGAAAAAAAGCTGCACTGGCTATCAATTTAGAGTAGAGCGGCCGCTACCGCTGCCGTGGAAGGAAACGCTGCCAACCGCAAGAGAAACGCCACCCTCGGATACCTAAGAGAGCATGTGTGCGACTCTGCGCACGCCTAGTTGCGCCCCTCAATGACAGTGGGTTTCTTAGGAAATTGTCCAGTTACCGGGTTTTGTGTGTACCCAGAAGGCTCAGGAAGAGGCCTGTCTCGGACTGAAGGGTACAGTAAAGACCTAAGGGAAATTAAGGAATGGGTAAGAGGGAACTCAGAGACCAGTGCTCCAGGTCAGTCTCCACTAGAAACTCTAAAGGGGCAATGACTGCACATGCCACCACCTAAGCCTGAGCCGGAAATGTTTCTCTGTGCAGGCAACATTTCTTCATTCATTCAACCAGTATCTGTTTCCCTCCTGCTTAGGTCTAGAGTCTGTGCTAGGAGCTGGGAAAATAATGGAGGAACAGACACAAGAACCATTTCATTCCTTATGGAAAAGTATAGTGTGGTTTTGTGTGTGTGTGTGTGTGTGTGTGTGTGTGTGTGTGTGTGTTTTACCGTTCGTGAAAAGCCATGTGACAAAGTAGATGTCCTAGACACTTGAAGTCCTCCCACAATCTCCTGCAGTAGCATTTTGACCATTTTTCAGAGGCTGACACTTGCCCAAAGACAGAGTCAGGATCTAAACCCTCCTCTGTGAGAGCCTTTTGGCTACCTGTCTGGCTCTTGCAACAGTCATGAGCCCATGGAGCTGCTAAGCATTCAGGCCTTTAATTCCACTAGCCTTGAGCAGCCTCTATATCTGTGTCTTGGCTTTCACCCCAGGGTTGGGGATGCAGTGGGGGGAGGAGAGGTGCAAGGTCTGGGCGTTTTCTGTTCCACAGAGGTCTGTAACTGTGCTGAACCATCAGGACAGGAATTTTACCTAACTAATCTTGATGGATACTCCCATATGCAAGGTTCTACACTGAGGAAGACACAAAAATAAACAAGAAGCTCTGAAGGAGCTTAAATGATAGTTGAGGAAATAAAAAGTATAAAACCTGTGCAACAGTGCTACTCACATGACTAAAATACTGTGATTCCCCATGCCTGTCCTTTGTCCCTGTTTTTATTATCCCACATTTACATATCATTTTAAAATCAAAATGACACACATTTATTATTCAAAGACCCAGATAAAGTGCACTCCTTCAGCATTCTCTCCTGCAAAACCTAGAATTAATTTATTTCCCCCTTCTTGTTCGTACTTCTCTAAACAGTAAATAGGGCTTGCTTTTTTTTTTCCCCTCCTATAGAAGGACATTCAAAGAGGCACAGGCTTAGGAGCCAGTAAGTATATAAAGGTTATAGCCCTGGGATTATAAGACTTAAAAATGATTTTGTCATAAGGATGAGTTAAACAAACTCTTCAGATTGAGAGTTGGAAGGATAAAACTGTATAGGAACCTGGGTGCACTGGCACATGTATTTCTAGAACATTTACTTAGAAGTTAGTAGAATAGCCTGGAACAGGGGACTCAGCAAATATTACATTTTTATAGATAACAATGATAAGATCTTTGGTAGATATGACATTTTCAGATGTTATATAGTCACAGTCACAATTACAGTTTCAGGTCACATTCAAGAAGTATCTTCAGTAATGTAAATCTAGACAGAAAAAGATAAGCCATTAAATGACCACTGTCCAGAGATAAGAGTGCACTCTTAGGGTGAGTGTGGAGTCAAAAAAAGATATTTAAGAAAAATATTACTATGTGAATAGCTGAATCACTTTGCTGGACGCCAGATACTAACACAACATTGTAAATCAATTATACTTCAATTTTAAAAAAGTATTATTGCATTACGATTTAGCTCTGATAGAAATGTTGAGAACAAGAATTTAGGAAGGACTCTGACTTGTGAATACTTTCATATCTGGGAAATCTACTTTCACAGAAAAAAAATGCACTAAATTACTACCTGTCTTTTGTAAGTAAAGCTATTTTAAACAGACCTAAATCCTAATGACAAAAATAATCCTAAATAAGATCGCCAAAGGGACTTCTAATTCGGCTGGCCTCCTCTGCCTTGGCTGAGTTCAGTCAGCACCTATCACAGTGTATTTTCCCATTGGCAGCACACACTCGGGAAAGGTGGCAGGAGTGCGCAACAGATTCTCTGGCGGTGGGCACGTCGCCTTTCTTTCAGGTCCCAGTTCTCCCACCTGGAGGGAACCCAGTACCTGAAGCCGACGGGTTGTAGCTGACAGCCTCCCCAGCACTTTCCTTACTCTTCCTCAAGCTGCTGGTAAAACCCGGAGAGGTGGACTTCCCTCAGATTCCGCCCGACTCTACGGCCCCACACCCAAAGCCCTGAGGCGGAGGGAGTGGTGGCGGAGGGGGGGTGGGGAGGGAAGGGGGCCGGAGTGACTGAGCATGTGCGAGGAGTGGCGCATGCCCAGTGCGGCCGACAGCTTCCCATTGCGGGTTGCTCCGGCGGTGGCAGCGGTGGCGGCGGCGGCAGCGGCGGCACCGCCTCCTCCTCACACTCCCGTGGTGGCGGGGTTAGATGAACGGCCCCAGTAGCGGCGAGGGCGGTGCGGGAGGGAGGAGGAGGAGAAGGAGAAGGAGGAGGAGGTCGCTGTCTTTGTAGTCTCCCTGGTGCGGGAGCGAGAGGCCGCCGCTGGAGCCCGTTGTCGTTGGAAAAGGGCTGTGTGCGCGCGCGTGTCTGCCTGCCCGGCCCTCGGGGACGAGGCGACGGTGGCGGCAGCGGCGAGGATGATGATGTGCGCAGCGACTGCCTCTCCCGCCGCCGCCTCCTCGGGGCCCGGCGGGGACGGATTCTTCCCAGCCGCCACCATCTCTTCCTCCCCGGCGCCGGGGGCGCTGTTCATGCCGGTTCCCGAGGGCTCCTTGGCGGCCGCGGGGCTGGGGCTGGGGCTGC